TTTATTTATTTATTTATTTATTTATTTATTTGTTTGTTTGTTTGTTTGTTTGTTTGTTTGTTTGTTTGTTATTTCTGGGCAGGTGGGTGAAGAGCATTCCCCCCTTGTGCCCACCAGCCCAGGCATGCTGAGGCAGCATCAGGACATGCTGTGTGGACTTTGATTCCTCCCCCTCATTAATTATTTATTTTTTTAATAAACCGTCCCTTGCTGCCCAGGCCTAGCAATGGTGTGGGAGGGGGGCAATGAAGCCTTGTCTTCTGCCCTCACTATGTATATAATAATATTATAATTTAATTTGTTTTATTTGCTTGTTTAAATCATCTTCTTTTCTGATTTTAAAGAATGGGCTTCCTCTAAATTCATGAGGCCCTAATGGGTCAAGCAAGGCCCCAGTGGCCTGTGCCTCCATCTGATTCTTTCTCTGTCTCTTTTTTAAAAGATATGTATATATTCATATTGAAATCCCAAATCACCAAAACAATTATTAGACGGGAGAATCAAGGCACTCCCCTGATTCCCAAACCATGGGGGATGCCAATGCAGCCCCTCTTCCAAAAGCGAAAGCACTGAAGTCATGCAAAAAGTGTGACTCCCTCTCAGGCTCGAAATTGCGAGATTTCCTTGTCTCCCACTATCCCGGGACTCTCGCCGGTGGAGCAGCCATTTATTTCAACAAACTAACTTCAAAGTCTTCTGTATTCCTGTTTTAATGTGGCAGTCCAGGGTGATTGCCAACAGAAAAGGAAGCTGGAGTGGGACTCCCCCTATTTTATTTTATTTTATTTACTATATCCTGAACCTTCCACAGCAGTCTGCTGTACAGAAGTATAAATGGAATTTTTTCCCCTGGCATGTAGGTACATGGCTGGAAGAGGTTCTTCAGCTTTAAAAATGCTTTAAAGCATTAGAAATATAGGCAGAAATTTCAACAAGCATTCTGCTATAAATTGAGGAATATATTAAGCAATTTTTACAGGGTTGAATTTTCTTTAGTGGATAGTGGTGGGATGTGCTGTCTTCCAACCTTTCATCCTGAAATGTTCATTATCCTTGCAATTTTGCATCATATTTGAAATGCTTTGATTTTATTTCCATAGCTAGGGTACAGGGATTTGTCCCATTAGAATTTAAGTATAAATTATGATGTCTATAAAGCATGGGCTTCCTAACTACTCAGAATGAAATAATCTGAGGTCAGGATACAGTACAAGGTTCATTTCATATAATCATTTTTATGGACATATATTCCAGTCAATTGAACTTTTAGTTAATGAAATAATTAAAGATGACTACAGAAAGAATTAGTAAAACAATACAGCTACTAATCAAATATTAACCACTGAGAAATAGTTTGAGTACAAATAGTGCTCTGTAATTATTTTTCTTTTTTCCAACTAAAGCATTTGCTTTCTTTGATTTTAGAGCTTATTTTTAATGTCTTTTCAAACCGTTTACACCTGATTTTTTTTTTCATTTTGAGGTGCACATTTGTATTTCTATGAGTGATACACATGTGAGCCACTATGATTATATGATATCTCAAAATGTGATCTGCTTGTGTATAAGTAGAAAAGATTAAGCTGCATTGTAACAGTAAGAAAGACACCTCTCAAAAGAGCAGTCACTTCCACTGATGCATGACTTCCATAAAGCTGATGACTGCTGCATGACCTTTTCTTGAACATATTCTGTTTGAACATATAGTGATTCACAAAGGCATTGACATTGTCACTTTATCGACATTATTCGCAGAGGCAACTTTTGAAATTGCTTACTAGAAGTAATGCTGTGGAAATGGTTATTTTTGTCCTAAAGTGATGCACTTGGACATATTTCACAGTAATGTTTAATTTCTCTTCACCCTGCCTTCTGAATAGGAAGGTTTCATTATAGGAAAATTTCTATGCATCACTTTGTCAAACATTTGTTAAATTTGTTGCTATTCATCTTTTTTCTTTTTAAAGTAATTGGTGAGCCTGAGAGTATAGATTGGTACAACCCACAAGGAGAGAAGATTATTTCCAATCAAAGGGTGGTAGTACAGAAGGAAGGTGTTAGATCACGGCTAACTATCTACAATGCCAATGTAGAAGATGCTGGAATATACAGGTGTCAGGCAACAGATTCAAGAGGATTAACTCAAGAAGCTACTGTTGTTTTGGAAATTTACCGTAAGTAAAATACAAATGGGGCATGTAAACCTAAGGGAGGCATTATCTTTTTACATGTTGTACAGAAAATATCTTGTAAGCATAGTGTTATAATATATTCTTCATCTTGTTGTTTGTTATAAGACAGAGACATACAATGAAATTTTAACAGAGCTTCATATCGTTAAGTAACCCTGAATGCATGACACCTACTTTGAACATGAACTTTACCTTAAGATAAAGGACCTCAGTTGTTTGGCTATTCAGATTTTCCTTTCCCATAGAAAATGCTGCACACATAATACATCCATGTGTGCAATGGTTCAGAAAGTGACATCCAGAATTACACAAATGAACTTTTCACGGTCACCACGTCCCAACTTGTCTAGGAGTGGAAAGACTTGTGCTCAGTTAGATGTCCTCCCCATGTTTTCTGCTGGACGGAGTCACTTTCCCTTTTCTGACCCTACAGGCCAGCTTCCAGCGGCTTCTAAGATAACTACAAATATACATCTGTTCTTAGCCTGCTTTCCTATGGTTGTTTCCTTACAGCAAGGAAACTATGCCAGCATCAGATATTGCTTGTGGGACTTCTGGGTGTGTGGCTGTTGGTAGCCTACACCCCCAGAGGGGTAGCCTACACCCCCAGAGGGGTATGTTAAAAAAATTATGAAGGTAATATTTCTTTGCTACATCACTTTTTAAAGAAACTTTATATCATACAAGTGACTTTGTTCTTCTCCAAGCAATATTTGAATTGTGTTGCTCAGAAGCTCTCTGTGCACCAGACCTCAAATTCAGTACAATGCACACATATATTTCCTTCAGGCAAGTTTTAATTCCATAATTTTTGGGGTGACCAAAACAGGTTCTAGAGGCAGACTAGTGTTGGTTAAATTTCAGGTCAGACAAACTAAAAAATATATACTGTTCTAAAATGGGAGAAGCAGTGCTTGTAGCATACACAGATTATATTTTTATAGTCCGTTGGACAAAGAACATAAGAAAGACCTATCATCACTAGTCAGCTGATTTGTGAGAGTCAATGCCCCTGTAATTTTCCACCAGCACTGGGCAGCAACACTGGCTGTTGGTGTGCAGGTCTGTGTGGCTGCACACCTCGGCAGATTAGATGGACCGTTGGTGAGAGTGCAGTCATTCTGAAAATCTGAGGAGGATTTATGAATCTTAAACTTATAGAATCTAAAACCTAATACATTTATTTTGGGTTGAACTTCTGTAAGTTGCACCTATTTCACCAGATAGAGTTTATTAAAAAAAAAAACCACAGCAGTTTTTTTCTATGAAACATATGCTACCCCTCCCAAAAAATAATAATAATTCACAGACTGAAGTTTAAAAATAATTTTTTATTCTTTTTCTGCAATAGATTGATATGATATCAATGCTTACCTATATTATGGAAATTGGTGTAAGGCATTTCTAACAATTTAAATGGACAAAAATTCTAATTATCATTTTTAAACTTTAGAATGTTTTGTAAATAATAGAAGAAGCTATTAAAACTCATTTCCTTTTTTCTTAGAGAAGCTCACATTCCAAGACATTGTATCACCTCAAGAATTCATACAAGGAGAAGATGTACAAGTCATTTGCCGTGTTACTAGCTCACCTGCACCTATTGTCAGTTGGTTGTATCAAAATGAGGAAATCTCAAATATTGCTGACAGTTAGTATTTTGGTAACTCTTTAAATTATATGTTTTCTTTATACATTGAACCAGATAGTAATGTAATGGTTAATGTTATAACTGATGCCACAGTTAAAATGAAGATATAAGGATTAGTGAATTTTATTTTAAAATTCCCCTCAACAGTCCTCACCTGAAATATTCTTTCCCTCTGAAATTTCGTTTTCCATTACATATATAGAGAAATAGTAACTTAGGTAACAGCAGCTGGCAGCTAGTGAATTAGAATTGGGAGAGAAATAAAGGAATTAGATTTGTTTGGAAATGTGTATGGAAATACCCATGTTGCACCTCATGAGGTTGTCAGTGTAACAAAGTTACTCTTCCTTGACAAAGCTGTGTATGTGTGAGAATTGTGCACAACTAAAAATGTGTTCATTTGAATTATTTGCAGATATGTATTCATGCAAAAATGCTTGTATTTTGGGGGGAAATCAGTGGGCAAAATGTTTAATTTATCATGAAGGGAAAAAAGTCTCAGTCTAACGTGAGAATGAAATAAAAATAAGTATAGGAAATATTTGAAATGAAGAGGAATGACACCAACAGATTTTCACATTCTTAGGGAATGATCAACTGGGCATATAGTACACATTTTGGACCATTTTGGTGTCGTCCATTGTGAGCTACTTTCCCATGATCACATGAGGTACATACATTAGTTCTCCAGCCCAACTGAGATCCATGCCCAAGATGGACCTTTTCGGTCCAGCTGCTCAACTACTCTTTTTTGGGGGGCGGAGTTGATGCGATATCCCAGTGGGCAGCAGGACCATTTAAGGGAAATTGCTCCAAGCTAAGTAACACTTTATCAGGTGCAGTCTTTTCTCACTATCAGATCACACCCATGGTTACAAAAATAATAACAACAAAACACACAAACAAACCAGAAAACCCACTCCACCCCAACACACTAGTGTAATTCCTGACTACTTACCTGTCAATTCTGAGGTAGAAAAAGTTCTTGAAGAGGATTCTCTGAGAGTTGAACTCAATATCATGCCAGCTCCCTAATTAGAAACTGATAAAACATTTCCCCTCTAGCTATACAATTCTTTCATATCATATTCTTTCCTATCATTTCAGGAAAAACAAGCTAAAGCATCTGAGCTAGAAGAACTGAAGTTCTAGAATTCTGTGTGTGTAAATGAAAATATGTTCTGTTGTCAAACACTTTGATAGTGTAGTAGAAGACTTTAAAGCTTTCATTAAAAAAATTATTTACATTCAAAGCCAGGTTCACAGCTGTGCCTTCACTTATTGATACTGTTTTGTCTCTTACATGCCTTTGCAGATAGATTTGCCATGTTGCCTAACAATAATCTTCAAATTCTTAAAATCAATAAAAGTGATGAGGGGCTTTACAGATGTGAAGGAAGAGTAGAAGCCAGAGGAGAAATTGACTTTCGGGATATTATTGTACTTGTAAATGGTAAGGAGCAAACTGAATTGTATTGCTCACTTCTTGCTTTGGTGTGTTAGCATAATGTATATACATGGTCCTTTTGATTACAATTCCTTAATAAACCTGACAATTTTTACATTATCACACTATTCTATAGTAATTAGAAAACAATACCCTGTAAATAAACATTGAACCACATGATTCTTATGTAAATTGGAGTGGAAAAGTAAAAATAGAAGATTGGGAGGAAGAGAATGTGAAAGGGCCCTACTGAAAGTAGGATTGGAAGAAGATAATTGGCTTTTGGAAATTGTTCAGAATCTCCTTGAAGTTGATCATGCTGTAAACAGATACATACTTTCTATCAGAAATTTCACCATTTTAATCAAATCCATTCAACTTTCCTTGAAAAATTGTATAATCTGGCCTGCATAAGATCTTCAAATCAGCTTCAAATTTCACTTCAGGTAAATTTCAACAGCAGTTCTACTCCTTAACTGATGCAGAACGTTGAAGCAGGCAGACAGTTTTATTGCTGTGCAGATCCAGTTGGTTTTCTTCAGAAACTGCCCCTGGGGCTCTTGCAAGGAAGCCACTTGCTATTTGTTCATAGAATGTTTCTATAAAATATTTTTGAACATGGTTGAAGGTGGTTGTTGTGTGTTTTTCAGGCTCTTTGGCCGTGTTCTTAAGGTTTTTCTTCCTAATGTTTCACCAATCTCTGTGGCCGACATCTTCAGAGGACAGGAGTCAGAACTCTGTCTGTGCTCTGGTCTGACAGAGTTCTGACTCCTGTCCTCTGAAGTTGCCGGCCACAGAGACTGGCGAAATGTTAGGAAGAAAAACCTTAAGAACACCGCCAAACAGTCTGGAAAACCCACAACAACCATCAGATCCTGGCCGTGAAAGCCTTCAAGAATACGTGGTAGAAAGTGATTAACTTTTTGTCAATTTACATGAAAGAGTGGGAACAGTAGTCGCTCTGGATTTAATTGTCTTCTAGGTCCTCTGTTTTTCAGGTAGCAATGTGTATTATTCTAAATCTAAAATGTGGTTAGCTGGCCCTGTTGCTCTTGGCATTTTTTTCCCCTGTTCCTTCTGGTGAGCAAGACCTTGGGCTTTCACTCTAATGAGCTTTCTAATGAGCACCGTGACTTTTAATATGTTTGTTTCAAGCACAGTACTTCAATTGCCTAAAACAAGATTTTGCTTTCTCATTGTTGTTGTTTTTTAAGAACTTGAGCTCAGTCTACACATAGCTCTTTTAGTTTGTGCCAACAGATAAAACATTTTTTAAAAAAAAAAAATACTATTTCTGCTATAAGGGCACTCTGTGATGACTGTCCAGGTTGTTGGTACAAGCTATCACCTCATCACTGTGGGGATATGTTTTCAATCATTGAAGTGTAAAAATAATGACCATAATTTATTGGTGTGTTGTTATTGCATCCTGTGACTCATTTTATCAGGCTACAGGACAGGCAGGGGTGGTGGTTTTTAGGTTCCAATTGTTGTAAGTATTGTGCACTTGAACTTCACCTATGGCCAAGAGAGCAATATAACAGGTATTATCTCTCCAAATGTCAGAGAGACCTTATTATGATCTTGTATTGAATACTGGATTCAAATATTTGAGATAGTTCAACTTAGCATTTTTCTGAGTCATCTTCACTTCAAGAAAGGCAGGCAGATTAAAGAAAGTTCAAAATAGCCAAGTTCAAATATATCATGCAGATGAAGATAGGCTCTTCTGCATATATAATCTTCCCTTCCCCCAGTTTTGCAGATTCCCACTTACAGCTACAGCCCCATATATTACATCTTATTGTATTTACAATGTTCAATGCTTCAAATATCAGGACCATTTTAAGCGGAATATATATATGAAGATAAGAGATGGGAAAGAGCAGCAGAAATTGAAGTTGAATTTCACTCAAAATTTACCTTTTTCCTTTTAAGAAGTATTATTTATGAAAACTGTTGTGGAAACGTCATGCTATTTCTGCCCTTTGCTTTCTACTCTTCAGCTGATTAAAATCTAGAACAGGACTGGTCCTCACATCCTATGCCTGAAAACCTGTTGCTTAGTGTAGTGAGTCACAACTAGAGTAGGCCCATTGAAGAGGCATGGTTGAATCCTGACATTTAGAGAAGGGTGCAGTTACCATCTCCCAAGTGAAAGTGTTCAGAATTGAAATGTTGCTTGGATCACAGGCTGCCTTTAGAAGAAATACAGAGTGGTGTTTAATGTCGAAAAGGATATTAATGCTTGCTCAGATAATTGGAATGACCTTATTGGATTTAGCAGAATGTTCCCTTGCCTCAAGAAGTAAGGCTATCTTCAGGCCTTGGATAGACTTCTAGAATCCAAATAAGTTTTGCATTTTAGAAGCATTTCAAAAAGGAACTTATGGAAGCCTGACAAATTTGTCACATTGCCACAACCTTAATTCCCAGGCTAAGCCCTAATAATGTAGCAAAAATATTAAGCCAAACAGGCATCTAGCAAATTGTGCCTAAGATCTGATTGCCTATATTGGCGCCTAACACCAATGGAAATGGGACCTTTCTCTCTGCTTTATGTTCTATGTGGCATCAAAACCCTTCTACAGAAGATTTCCTAGCCTTCCAGAACCAGAAGGAACAGAGATCACTGTTTCTGGTAGAAGCAGCAGAATCCAGTTGAAGTATATCTTTGGATCCTTATGAATATTTCAACAAATGTCTTAAAAACCTGATCCTCTAATTATTCCTAAGCAAAATTCCAATATATCTCTGATCAAAACTTAAACTGATTCAATATTAGCAAATAGATGAACATTTTACATTAAAAATTTACAGGAAGATTACTCAAAAGAAATAACTGAAATAAGACCAAACAGCTACTCACCACGGGCAGTGTGGTAGCTTCAGGCACCTCCTCAACTGATCTTCCAGTCTTGGCAATGGCTCAGTCTTCTCTGCCCTGCCCTCTTGGCTGATCTAAATTCAGATGAAAGGGTGAGGTAGAGAAGTCTGTGCTCTTGCTCATGCCTGAGCGACTAGCTGAGGAAGTGGAGAAAAACCACACAAACTGGCCTGGTGGGTGGCTAGATCAACTAAGGAGGAGGGGGAGCGGAGCTGCAGCACCTGTGCTACCACCTTTTTGAATAGGAACAAACTGGGAGGAAACTGGTTCATGCCCATCTCTAATAACCCAATGTCTGCCCCCCAACACACCAGAAAACAAAGCATTTCGTTTTAGTTAACACTTGAACTGTTAACACTTGAAGCATAATCCTTCAGGTTTCATGTTGTGTTTGTGAATGAAATAGCTATACAGCAGTCATTTAGTTCAGCAACAAGAGAAGCCCGTATGTTATCTGCTTTGACATGTATACTTCACATTTTGTCCAGTTCCTCCAATTATTACATTGCTCCAGAAATCCTTTAATGCTACAGCAGATCGAGGAGAAGCAATTACTTTGTTCTGTAAAGCTGTAGGTTCTCCTGAACCTGAAATCAACTGGTATAGGTAAGTCTAATTTAAGTATATGCAGCAAACATACTTCAAATGCAACAGATATAAGTATTGTTAAATAGTGGCATTAAGATAAATATTTCAGTATATAGAGATTGTTTCACTTAATAGAAATAGATGTGAGCAAGTATTTTCTTTACTGAACACCCCTCTGATTATAACCTGATGAATGTTTCTAAATTTTATTGTATGAAATTACAACCTGAGCTATCTGAACCTTGAGATTGTTGTACATAGAAGAAAGATATATTGTAATATGTCAATCATTTTGTTTGTATCTTTATTGCACTGACATAATGAATAGTATGTTGTATCCAGATTCCAAAAAGTCATGAGTACTCAATGGTTACAACCAAACAGTTTTTTTAACTTTTATATTCAAAATAAAGACTAGATGAGCTGTAACTCAATTTAAACACCACAGTCATTTTGAAGATGGGATAGATAATTTCACTATGCAGTCTGGGATGGAAGCATTCATAACTGTGTATTTATTACTGAAGATAATGCATTAAGATAAAAAATATGATGGTTTGTATTAGAGATGGGGGTATTCGTATTTGTATACAAATACAAATACCCTCGCACAGGTGACCGTAACAAGGGTCCACTCACCCATCCACTGCTGCCGCCGGCTCTGCGCTCCCTTCCAATCACTCCGGAGCTCATGGTCGACTAGCCACTCCTGGAAGAAGGAGGGAAGATAAGCCTAGTGGCTAGTCGACTAGTGGCTAGTCGACCGCAAGCTCTGGAGTGATTGGAAGGGAGCATGGAGCTGGCCTTAGCAGCGGACAGGTGAGTGGATGGTCTGACCCCAGGGGGCTGGACCTTCATTATGTCCACCTGTGCAGGGGTATTTGTATACAAATACAAATACCTCCATCTCTAGTTTGTATACATTCATCCTGTAGATCTAACATATTTTAATGAACAAAATTGCTTTGATGAAAAATAACATTCAAAAATGAATCTATTTTTTAAAACAATAGGTTTTTAAAATATAAACTGTTGCCATATTTCATTATTGTCCATTTTCTTCAAAAAATTCTATCTCACAGAATTATCTGCCATTTCTTCTGTCATTGTTGAGATAGTTGCAACCTGACACAAATTGAACTTCCTTTTCCTTAGGGAATTCTTTTTATGACAGAATTGCATGATCTATACTTTTTAGAATATGCATCTTGTTTTTCTTTAGATGAAAGCATCTAATGTGTAACTGTGGGGTTATTTCTTTTACACTTTGGGGCTGAATGAACCACAGATTAGGCAGTAGTGAAGGATGAACTGACTCAAAAATTTAAGAGCATAGGATGATTTTTTTTGTATGCTCATGATTGGTTCTGACCATCCACTAGACAATTTGAAATGGTTGAAGAGTTAGTTTGACAGTAATCATAAATTTATGCAATCCATGCATCAGGAGAAGCAGACAGTAATCCAAAAAACTAACATAAAATAAATTTAGTATTTAGTATTAATCTTAAAGTTTCCACAAAACTATTTTTTCTGTGGTTGCATAAATTAATTTGTTTAGTGTTTCTTTTTTTAGTGTTTTATAAGGAAACGTATAAAGATGCATTTTCTTTTTAAAAAACCAAAAGCATTATTATTGTTCACTGTCACTAAGCAATAGGATTCTTTGATATATTATTTTATTTTATTTTATTTTGGCATTTCAACATCAGGAGATAAGTTACGAACTTTCAAATTATAAATCATTATAAATTCTTTCTATTTAGAAAAGGAAAACGTATTGAGGAAAGTGACAAGTATGTATTGAGAGGAAGCAATACGGAACTAACAGTCAGGGACATAAAAAATATTGATGCAGGTCCCTATATCTGTGAAGCAAGGAATAAAGCTGGAAAGATGACAAATCAGACGTACCTACAAGTTTTTGGTAAGCACTGTTAGGTATAATTATCACTTTTCATCTGTGTTTGAACTCACTTCAGCACTGCTGTACATATCATGAATGATTTATGTTTTGTCATTAAAGTTTCCATTACATTTCAATTAAACTAAAACATGAAACAAATATGTGAGTCTCTACTCTGGTAGGAGCTCTGTAAGCATGTTCAGGGCTGGCAGATCTCTTTTCAGAGCTTCACGATGATGGTGCATGTATCTGGGGCCATGCTGCATGCATGAGTTACATCTCCTCTAGATATGGGCACAAGCTGAATTACAAGCAACAATAATAAACACAAACCAGGCTGCTACATGGTTTGGTTCATGCAGGCCATTTTGCTAAAACAAAACAAAACACAGAACTTTTTTCTGCTCAGTGCTTCATTTTGCTTTGGAAAAACAAACGCCCCTTGGTCCATTCCAGCTATCTCCCTTTCCCTCTGCCCCCACCCATCCCCTCCCTACCTGGTCCTGCCACTTCCTCTGCTACTGCCATCATCAGAGACAGCAACCCTTCAGAGGGCTTCCCTTCAGAGAGCCCGATCTGTTGATAGACTGGCACATGTGTAGAGATAGCTGTCCTGGCTCCTGGAAAGGAAGTCAGGCCACTGTCTCTGAAGATGGAGGAGGTGGCAGGAACAGGCAAGGAGGTGACAGGCAGGGGGCAGGGGGGCAGCAGAGGTGGTTCAGGCTTTAGGTTCCACTCTCCTCAGGTATAGAATGTAAAAATGAACCATGAACCAGTTCATTTTACTGGGGTTCGGGGTTGGTTCACGGTTCATCATATTTCTGGTTTGTGCCTCTCTCCAATCTCTTTAAGTTTCTTTGTGGGTAAATGTCTGTACAAAGTTATAGCAATTCCAGAAATGTCTTCTTTGTTATGTGCTGTTGCTTTTTCACAAATTGTATGACATTGCAGTAGGTAGATTCCTGAGATTTTCTAAGATAAATGGGAAAAGTAATCTGCATTCCTTTAAGAAAAATCGTCTCAAGACATGTTTAGTAGTCTCAAATTGAAACTGGGAAGAAGAAAAAAGCCAAGATCTGACTCAGACATGAAAGTACTTCCCATCACTCTTCATTCCTCTGCATCAAGGGTCCAGAAGCTTAGTTTTCAGTTGAAGATTTCTTGAGTCCCCAATTGATTTCCCCAAAAGATTTAAGACTGAAGCCACCAGTTCTTTTGAATGGTTTCTCTCTGGGTAAATGGCCCAACAGCATCATTTTCCTAATTGGGTCCTCAGTAGGAAAACATATTTTACCAAACATTTGCTAAGGCTTTGATATGCAGTTGCTTCCACATTTTCCTGACCAAAAAGCAAAGTTCTGTTGGGGGGAGTGAAGGGCAACTAGTGCCATTTTGGCAATTGTTTTAAAGACACTTCAACTAAACATTCTCATCCTCTGATTTAACAAAAGTGATTGTATCATTTATTACTGTTTTTCAGTACAGTTTACTGAATGCACACATTTTAGCTGTACACATTTTAGCAAAGCAAAGTGTGCTGCTTATGTACCACCCCATAGCGCTTGGGCGGTTCATAAGTTAATTACGCAGGCTACACATTGCCCCTCCCCCAGCAAGCTGGGTACTCAGAAGGATGGAAGGCTGAGTCAATCTTGAGCAGGCTACCTTAATCCACTGGGATTGAATTCAGGCTGTGAGCAGAGTTTTGACTGCAGTACTGCAGTTGAACCGCTACAGCATGAGGCTCCTTTAAAATGTTGATATAGTTTTGTGCACATTTTATTTCTTGAAAACATTTTGTATGTCTTGCGTACAAAAGTGAAGATGACTGTTTTAGCTCACAGATATATGAATACAAAAGAGATGTGCTTCTTACAAATCTTATGAGGTACAAATACTTAGTACTTTCAACAGGATTGATGTATCATATGATTTTTTTCTTATCCCTATTTGCAATGCTCATGAGCCTAATAAATCAGATAGATCAACCTAATTATTACACAATCCAGTGAGTGCTATCTTTTAAAAGGTGTTTTTGAGGCTTATTCTGATCTGACCTCCCAAATAACATATTTTACCTTGTACAGTACTATTTATCAGGTAGAACATGGGTACACAGTTCATTAATATTTGTATCGCTCCTTTACACATGTTGCATGTTTTTCTTCAAGAATATATAATGTAATTTATGTTTCAAACAGTACAGCCTCAAATAATGCAACTTAAAAATGAAACAACCTTTGAAAATGGTCAAGCTACTCTCATCTGTGAAGCAGAAGGGGAACCGGTTCCTGAAATTACTTGGAAGAGAGCCATTGATGGAATAACATTCTCTGAAGGTGACAAGGTAAAATAATCTGTCTTGAATGTCTGCAAAGTTGACAATTATACTGAATGAAATCTAAAAATGCCATGAATGTGAAAATGATGGAGGAAGAGGCTTACTCATAAAAATTATATCAAAATACATTGTTTATTCATAGGCTTTATGCCCCAGATGAGGAGGAAAATGAACATAAATAGTTACTATGGTAACTCCAGCTCTATTTTTGGACAGGGATCAGAAAATCCAAACATGTGAAAATTTTAGAAAAGACTAATTTTAGACTGTGATCCTATATGCAGTTACTGAGAGAAAGTCCCATTTAAATTAGTAGGACTACTAAATAGGGGGGATTTTAGGATTGAGCTATTAAGGTGTTTTTGTTGTGTTTTTTTAAAAGTCCCTTCCAAAATTTAAGAACACATTTCCCTTCAGTTTTCCTTGTATCTCAGATGTGAAAGGCTCCCCCCCGCCCCCGGTAAAGCCCTCTATTAGTTTGGTTTGTCTCGTCGCAATCCAGAAAATGAACTGTAAACAGAAATGTTTATTTTTTGGAACTTGTCTATGGTAGTCTCAGGTTTTAAGGTTTTAAACATATTATTATGAAAGGGCTTGGTGAATATACCGAATTATCTTCGTGACTTGAAAGTATTTGGAATATTGTGTGGCACATTCATCAATTTTTTGAAAGCGAAAGCATTTGGTTAAGGAAGAGTTTTGTTGTAAAGATATTCCCTAAATAATTAAACTCCCAGAAAAGGGCGAATCTGAGGAATAATTTCTAATGGCAACTGAGAACTGCCGTTTGATTCTTCGTAATCTTTATTACTTTTCTATGAACCTCAACATCCTGTCCTTATTCCCTTGCTTACTATTCATCATTATCTCACAGCATTGAGTCTCAGTTTTAATCTTCGGTGTGTTTCTGTTCACTATTTTATTAGACATATTTTGTTGGATTTTAAAACATGGTTTTATGACTTTTCCTTTGTTTTCTGTGCATTGTAGCTAGTATCACACTTTTTGATCATCATGATTGTCATTACAGCCTATTTCTAAAGCCGTGCTAAAGCTGATCAAGTGGAATATAAGGGTCCCCTTATAGGGAGAAAGGTGGCCTATAATTAAAACATACAAAATAAAATACAGTATCCTTTTTCAATTATCTTATCCTAGATTAGTAATCCAGTGTCACACTAATGAATATTAGCATTCCAAGACTCCCATCCTTTTCTTCAAAGCTTTCCACAATGTCAGTTTATTTCCATCTTTCTACAGCAGATAAACCAAACTTTGAGTCACCAGCCATTTAAGAGGGCCAGCTGACCTGAAAACATTGGAAGATACAATAATTAAGTAAACATTCCATCCCAATCTTGTGATAATTATTGCTGCATGGTTTTTTACATAGTAAGATGGTGCAGACCCTGTCTTAGTGTGTCATCACTCCTGCTGTCGCCATGACAGCCACCCTTTATCATGTAGGCTGTTAGAGGGCTCTCATTCATGCTTCTGAAAGAGATTTTCGAATGGCATAGGGAATTGAACCCCCTTCCACTGCAGAGGAAGAACATAATTGGATCTTTGTTCTAGTAAATGACATGTCTGAAAAGCAGCATTTACATTCTACTAAACATGTCTCATTTAACTCTAAAATTCAAGGTACTGTTTTGTTTTTAAAATAAATGTTATATAGGAACCATGATTTGTAAAACATTCAAAGAAAAGCCCTACCAATAGTTCCCAACTTTGGGTCCCCAGATGTTTTTGGACTACTACTTCCAGAAATCCTGGCCAGTACAGCTAATGGTGAAGGCTTTTGGGAATTTTATTCCAAGAACATATGGGGAACCTAGGTTGGGAACCACTTCATGTAATAGGTAGAGGTCACCTGTGAAATTAATACATCTGGGAAGATGCTTGAGCATGTGCTTTCCCAATTTTGCACAAGTGTTGCTTATTTTGAAGTGGTTGTTTGCTTTGTTTGCAGTTTCTCTGAATCAGAACAGTAAAGATACCATATACCATTTATCAGGTGGAACATATATTTCCAACAGCACAGCCTCAAATAATAATGTGGTTTCTTTGAGAGTTTGGTTTCATAATTAGTTAAGACCTTAAGATGATTAAAGACAGCTGCAAGTAGCTCTTTATGTAAGTTCCCTCCTGTTCTGTATAGGTGGAGCTACAAACTGCCTTATATGAACTGGAAATTGGAACATAATAGCACTCGTCAGTTTGTGGGGTTTTTTATTTTTATTTTTTATTTTTTTGGTTCTACAAGGAATATGTGTAAAACATTTTGGCTGGTTTATGGAAGTCCTGTTGGGAAGCCCACATCCTTCTGTTTTCCAGAAATTTAGTTCTTCACAATATACCACTGACAACAAAGAGGGCTAGAGTGGGGGAGCAATTACATTTAATGTAGAGCATTGTTTATTCCTAATCATGGCTCTTGTTGTCTGTGTCCTTGGACTACAAAAATATTGGCATAATAAAGTTGTACCGTAACATTTTTCAGAAAACAGTGTAATCTTGTCAGTGACCTGCAAGTGTTTTATTTACTACATAGATGTCGGAATTTATCTCCTTCACCCCCCACTCCGCTTTCCTGTAGGTTTTAAGTAATGATTTAATTTATTTCCAGTTAGAACATTGAAAAACATGGATTATTATATAGAAAGGCTAGAAGAACTGGACTGAGTTGAATGAAAAGACTGAGAAGCATATACTAACAGGCTTCACCTCATTTTTAACAGCCTACTGCATGGTGGGTGGAATTGTTAGGTATGTGTGCACATGCAAAATATCTTGGTTCCCCCCCCCCCGGCCACAGTTATTTTAAGCATTCATATAAGGTCCAGTTGATTGTGCTTTCAAAATCCTGATCAAAATAGCTAGCACATTTTCCTGAGAAACCATCCTTTGAAATATTTGTCATTAGTGGATATATGATGATGAGTTGTAAACAGTAGTATTTGTATGTTTTTCTTTTCTGTTTAATAAAATAATATATATATTATCAGGATGCTCATGCACAAGTGGGCAAGATTGTTCATCTGCAGCTTCATGTTCTTCTACTTCTATAACTGAGTAAATATAAGGTTATGAGTAACATAGCAAATGCAAAGAAATTAATGGTACACAGTAGACCTTCATGTATGCTTCTTGACTGGGGTGTACTATATTGTCTGAAATCCAATAGTAAACTAAACTGCACAGAATATAGGCTGTAAAAGACCCCCCCCCAAAAAAAAAGCAAAGCGTGCTGCTTATATACTGCCCCATAGCGCTTCAAACACTCTCTGGGCGGTTTACAAGTTACTTATGCAGGATACACATTGCCTCCCCAGCAAACTGGGTACTCATTTTACCGACCTGGGAAGGATAGAAGGCTGAGTCAGCCTTGAGCTGGCTACCTGGGATTGAACCCCAGGTCATGAGCACAGTTTTGGCTGAAGTACAGTGGTTTAACCACTCGCCACGAGGCTCATATGACCAGATCATACATCACCGTATTAGAAAATGGAAATTGTAACCTCCTACGCCATAGTTTCTCAACCCTTCTATTTATATATTTTTGGAGATTTAATATAAAGAGTATTTATTTATTTATTTATTTATTTATTTATTTGTTTGTTTATTCTATTTATACCCCGCCTATCTGGTCGAAACGACCACTCTAGGTGGCTCTTCACTTCTTGCTTTTGTTTCTGTTCATTCCAGAAAATTAAACTACAGTAAATGGTACATTAGAACATCAGCAAAAGAGACATGTAGTCTCACTGTTGGAAATTCAGCAGTAAAGTATGTTGAAACCATAATCAGCATTGTGTGCTCTACTTGTAAAAGATCTTCGAAGGTTTAGATATATGATCCCAGTACAGTTTCAGAAAGTATGGTTTACACATTTCTGACCACCACTCTGTTAAAATTTATTCTAGTTCTCTTGCAGTTTTAACTCCAAATGACAGAACACTGTAATTTCTATTTTTGTCTAAAAGTGCTATCACAAGAGGAAAGGACTGACCAAAACTCTGTTCATGAAGTCCACTATCTTAATACCATTGACAAAACTTTCAGCAGTGAGTTGCTGCAAGTTGAAAAGTCAAAGCAGGCACTAATTGCAATTCACTCCTGAAATTAGGCTGGGTTAATAATAAATAGGTATTTTGTCATTAATTAGGAACTAACAGTTATTATCTGTAATAGAACAGGAACAGCTATGGCTTTTTAAAAAAAGGCTCAGTCTGTTAAAGAGCATAATTTCCAGAAAAATAATATTTGATGTGCTTAAATTTTTAAAGACGATTTTTGAATACACATTAAGTGTGTAATTATTATTGCAAAGTACTGTGTATTATCTAGAAGATGTCTGCAGCTATAACTGTTCCACAAGAATGACTTTTGATATCCCAGTTGTCCTACGGATAATTTTAGAACTCACTTCTTTTTCCAGTTCAATGAAGAATATGTGCAACACATATTGAGTGATGTGTAAAAGTATTTTGTGTAATACATCTTCTGCCTATTCTTCTAGAAATTTAGTTCTTCAAAAAAAAAACACCTCCATTCTTAAATGTGACAGGAATAACAGTAATGCAAAAAAAAAAAAGATTGCAACATATACTGTATGCTCAAATTTTACTAAACTGCACAAAAATGGACAAGTGCAGCTTGCTCTGAATTTTCTATGAATAATTGTTTATGCAGACTTAAGTATTTGGTAAATTTTTGGGACACCAACGAACCATGGTTATTTCTCTAAACATAAAGAACATGGGCAATATCAAATTCTTGGACTGAAAAGTTCAGATACTTTGAATTGAGCTCTCAAATCACTTACAGTACTCACCAGATAAATCTGCACACAGAGACACACAGAAAGAGACATGTTTTCAAGGCAAAACAGAAATGCAACAATGAAAATACATGTTCTGGATATTATTGGGGGAAATGAATAAAATGTGAAATTAAACCATTTTTTCTGATGAAAGAGACAAAAGGAACATCATCTAGGATGT